GACCCAGGACCATCTGTCCCACTGGGCTGAGCTCTTCCACATCCATCACCAATCAAGAAGATGCACCAGGGCTTGCCTACAGGCCAATCTGGTGGGATCACTTTCTAAATTGATGTCCACTCTTCCCAAATGACTCTACTTCATGTCAAGTTGACATAAAACTAGCCTGCACAATAGCATATGATGGTCTCTAATCTGAGCCCAAATGTTTTAGAGCATATTAGTTGACTTTGTGTGCCATTTACACATATGTAAATGTACAATGCATGTTGTATGTCTAGAGCCAAGGCTAAAGTGAAGTCATGCCATGCAACCCAAGTGAGCATGGCACATTTGATCTTGAATTAATTTGGGACCATTGTACATATGGAAATGAAGTTTCTGTTCCACCTGGTCCAGCAGCCCTTAGTCTCAAATGAATACACAGAAACTTTATTAATTATAAAACTGGCTGAAAGGCTAGGCTTCTTATTGGCTAGCTCTCTCTTAATTATTAACCCATTTCTATTCATCTATGTATTGCCATGAGGCTGTGGCTTACCTGTAATCCGGCATGCTGCTCTTTCAGAAGCATGACATCTCTTTGGCAACCTCTCTCTGCATTCTCCTCATCTGGTAGCCCCGCCTATAATTCCTGCCTGGCTACTGGAAAATCAGTGTTTTATTCATCAACCAATAAGAGAAACATATATACAGAAGGACATCCCCCAACACAGAAAGCTTTCACTGTTGTCAAATTTTTCTTTCCATTATGCAACCTGTCCTAATTAGCTTTAACTATCAACTTGACACTTGAGAAGGGAATCTCAACTGAGAAATTGTCCAGATCAGATTGGCCTGTGGGCATGTCAATGGAGGATTGTCTTGATGGTTTACTGATGTAGGAAGGCCTAGCCCACTGTGGAAGCATCATTCACTAGATAATAGTCATCAGTTGTATAGGAAAGCTAGCTAAGCATGAGTAAGTCGGCAGGCAGCATTTCTCCATGGTTTCTTCTTTGAGTTCCTGTCCTGACTTCCCTCAGTGATGGACTAAGACCTGTAAGGTGAAGCAAATCCATTCTTCTCCTATGTTGTTCTTATTGCAGCCACAAAAAAAAAGAAACTAGAGCACAAGCCCATAAGGGTTATGGGACAGTTTAAGAATCTGTGGGAAAGACTATAAAGGCCCACCAAAAGGAGGCTGCATTTCTCTTGTTCACCTTTCGTCTCAACTCTAACACAGATAGGCAAAGATGTCACTTTCCTAGTAACTTGGGTAAATACAATGAATGAATTGGAAAACTATTAAAACTGATGGTTAAAATTTGGTTACAGCCAGCATTATCATTAAGTGAGCATGCAAGTTCATACTTGGCATGTTGTCTACAACTCAACAATCCTGATGAACAATTGACAACTGTTATGGTTTGAATGTTCTTCATAGAACTCTGTTTAAACTCTGGGTCCCCAGCTGGTCCTGCTCTTTTGAAAGGCTGTAGATCTATTGGGAAGGCAGGCCTGGCTGGCAGAGGTGGTAGGTCCCTGAAGACAGATGGCCTTTCAATGTTGTAGCAAGATGTGCTTCCTGTAGAACACTCTGCTTCCTGGTTCACTGGGATGAAAAGAAGCTGTGCTTAGGAAGTGTGGTGTTCATGGTGAGTGAAGCAGCTCCCACCATCACACGCACCAGCACCCACCCACCATGAAGACCAGGCTCCCTAAGCACACGCTCACCTCTTTGGGGCACCAAAGAGCATCTCATAAATGCTCGGCAACATGGGACCAATTCTGCATTAAAGTCCTTCCCAAGTCAACAGATGTTTCAGGGTCAGGACCTCTTTATTGCTTGCAGGCTATATCCATATCCCATGCTAAAGCACCTGATTTAGTTGCAGGCAGCTGTGAGTTGATGGGAGATGTCATTCTGTATATGTTTCTCATACTGGTTAATAATAAAGCACTGTTGGCCAATAGGAAAGGAAGATAGGAGGGACTAGGAGACAAGGAGGAAATAGGAAGTAGGAAGGAGGAGTCAAGATAGAGAGTCTGGAGAGATCTGGACGGCAGCCGCCTCCCCGGTAAGAGAAGGCCATGTGAAAATACATAGATCAGCAGAAATGGGTTAATACTTAAGACAAAGCTAGCCAATAAGAAACTAGTACCTGGCCAACAGTATAATATCAAATACAGAGTCTCTGTGTATTATTTGGGGCTGGTGCAGCAGCAGGACAAGACCAGCGGCGGCAGGCGGAAAAACCGTACTTGTTACAGTGAATGTTGCACAAAGTGGGAGAATTAGGAAGTCAGATGTTACTTGGGAAAAGTGCTGAGTTAGCTGAGAAGCAGATTGGAAAACTAGTTAAAGTAAGCTAAGTACATGCTGGTGGGTGACCCCCCCCCATGTATAGCATGACTGGCATTTGGGGGCAAACGACTAACAGTTCTAACCCTCCTGGGTAAAAGAACTTTCGTGAAAGTGTTTGTATACCCAGTGGTTTTCTTTGATTGAATGTAGAAAGAAAATACATTTTTGTTTCTTACATTTTTATTTTTGACAGTGTTATACAAGTATATACAATATACTGATATCATAATCATCCCCCATTCTCTTTTACTTCCTACCACTGTTGACTCCCATTCCCTTCTTCCCACCTAGTCCCCTCCTACTTTCATGTCCTGTGTGTGTGTGTGTGTGAGAGAGAGAGAGAGAGAGAGAGAGAGAGAGAGAGAGAGAGAGAGAGAGAGAGAGAGAGAGAGACCCAACAAATTTACCTAGGGTTGTCAGATGAGCATAGATAGGGAACTGCAAAATGAAGCAGCGACAACCTACCAGTGGCCACACTGTTGAAGAAATCACCCCCCCCCCCAGAATCTGTTCGTTGCCAATAGCTCCCCAGGGAAATGTGAGGCCTCATTAGCACCACCCCGTTTGTGATGAAATATTGACAGGTCCCATCTTATTCAGGAAGCCACAGCTACTGAGTGTTCATGACTGCAATGGCCATGTCAATTCTGTTTTATAACACTTTCTATAGCCACTGAGTCCAATCAGTGCTGACCACATAGGTCTGTCTACTAGAGTGTGAGCAACCTACTAGAGGCCACACCCCTAATGAAAACTAACTCTCTTTCAACTGCAAATACCCCAGCTAGGACTGGGGCTTTGTGCATAGTGGACTGTTGACTGGCTTGATTTTGTGCGGGCCTTATACAAGCAGCATTTGTTGTTGAGCTCGTGGGTTCAATGGCTTTGTCATGTCCAGAGGACACTGTTTGCTTATCTCTGGCTCTTAGAATCTCCCTGCCCCCTCTTCCACGATATTCTCTGAACCTTGTTCATTTTGGGGCTGTGTGCTAACTTTCTTTATTAATAACGTGCACCTTTGTCTTCCCCTTTGCTACAGTGAGGCATTTCCACAGCTAGCGTAAAGTGTCACTCTCAAACAAAGAGCATCTTCTGTAACATGTAAAACTAAAAGGAAGATGTCACTTTACAGTCTAACCCTGCTACCATTGAGGGGTGTCATCCTGAGTTAGGCCTGCACTCACAATAGCTCCCCCCAAAGGAACACAATAGAAACATACAAAACAAATGAGCATTTTTCTAAAGAGAAGTCATTCTCAATAGTTCAGGAGAATTTGTGCTGATTGCCTTCCCAAGTACAATGGTTAAAAAGGCTTTGGAAGCCAGACATGGTGACACGTGATGATATCCCCAGCCTTTGAGAGGAAGATGTGGTCAGATTATCATGGGATAGCCTGGTCCACACAGTGAGTCAAAGGCCAGCTAGGGCTACTATCCTGGTTAGCTTTTATTGTCAACTCTATACAACTGAGAGTCACCTAGGAAGCAGGGGCTTGCCTAGAGCAGATGGCCTCCAGGGAGTTCCTTGATTGGTGTGAGGAGATCAAGTTCATTTCTGGCAGTGCTACCACTGGGCAGGTGGTCCTGGTATGTAAAAGGAAACTGACTAAACATGAGCCAGAGAGAACGAGCCAGTAAGCAGCCTTCTCCATTGCCCCTGCCTCAAGGTTTCTGCCTTGAGTTCTTTCTTGTGAGTCAAGCATGGCACACGCCTGTAATCCCAGCACTCGGGAGGCAGAGGCAGGTGGATCCTAGGTCAGCCTGGTCTACAGAGTGAGTGCCTTTCCTCCCCATGAGGCTTCTCCAAGTATTTCATCATAGCAACAGGAACCAAACTGGAATAGCTACACAGTGACACCCCTGTCTCAACTGTGTTTCTAGGAAGGAAGATTGGTAATGTCTACAGTAGGCTAGGAATTGTGTCACATACAGTCCTGTGCCTCGTGGCAATGTTTTACTCAGTGATAGACACCTATGTGACTTTAGTCCCATAAGAACTGAAAAGTTGCCATTGACTAGGACATGTAGCTAGCATAACCATGTAAAGTCTGTCATGCAACATGTCTGTGTTGCTACTACTACTGAGCTACTACTCTGTCAGCAGTGTAAGTGCATAACACCTACAGCCATGTACAGATCATAACACTTGATAAATATAATAAATGACCCGGCTACTGGCTTTTGGTTTGTGATGTGCTACTTCTTACTTATAGAAAGAAACATTTGCAGTAAAGCAGGATTGCCCCACTACACCAGCAGTGCACACAGCCAATACTCATTGTGTCTCCAGTCTCACATTTTCCTCTGTGTTTGGTTAGCTCCGCATCATATTGTTCCTCACAACCCTAGGAGTAGTAAGATGTACAGTACTTATTTGTTTGGATGTATGTCTCTGTGTGCCATATATAGGTTTATAACCTAAGCGGGTAGCAAGCTATTCCAGCTAGGTTTGTGTGAGCACACACAGTACTCACCCAGCAAGGAAATCTCCTAATGGCCCATTTCATAGACCATGCCCCCTTCATCAAGTGACCTGTGGCTGTACACAAACGTTTGAGTATTGGTGCTAACAGCCCAGAGGTTCCTAATCTCTCCTCTTAATATCATCAGGCACCAAGCTATCTGCTGATCTCCATTTGTTTGTCCCTTGCAGGTGTGTGTTATGCAGAGTTTGGAGTTCGAGTCCCCAAAACCACAGGATCTGCCTACACCTACAGCTATGTCACTGTTGGGGAATTTGTGGCATTTTTCATTGGCTGGAATTTGATACTGGAGTACCTGATTGGCACGGCAGCTGGCGCCAGTGCCCTGAGCAGCATGTTTGACTCCCTGGCAAACCACACCATCAGCCGCTGGATGGTGGACACAGTGGGAACCCTCAACGGCCTGGGTGAGATTGCATCAACCTCTCCCCTAACATGCAAAGTCGTGAACCAGATGGATAGATTGCCCTTTAAGAATGCAACATCGAGGCTGGAAAGATGGCCCAGTGGGTAAAGTACTTGCTGGGCAAGCTGAGAACCTGAATTTAGTATCCCCAGACCCCACACATACACACACACATCCCAATTTGGCAAAATGTGTCAAGAACTTTAAATGCTTCTTTTTGTTTTTACAAGGCAATTCTTCACTCTAAGAGATTATTCTAATTTTCATGAACACATCATACAAAGAGACTCTCATCCCACTCTTATTTTCAAAGGATACACACCTTTTATCTGAGATGCCTGCAACCAATTCAATATATTGTACAAAGTCTCATTGTATGTGTGAATCTTATCACTTGGGGTATATGGAATCCACTGAAAAGGTTTAAGGTTCCATAGCATCTCAAATTTTGGATTTTTAGATTATAGGTGCTCAATTATAATAATTTAAGAAATTCTTCGGAGGGAGAAGTATTCATGTAAATTATGAATATATATGATGTTCCTGACAACTGAAAAGATGTCTAAGGAGGACATCGCATGGACTATGTATGAATATGTAATGTAATGTCACATATCAAAGAACATAGGCTGTACTGTACATGTGCCCTGCCACTGAATATATGAAAATAAAACTAATGCAGCCAAAGGAGCTGGGGAAGCTTCGCCAGTGATTTCACTGTAAATTTTCTCCCATTTTTCACAAACAAATCTTTTCACTCTTTTTGTTTTTTATTTTTATTTTATTTTGAGACAGGGTTTCTCTATATAACATCCCTGGCTGTCCTGGAACTCACTTTGTGGACCAGGTTGGCCTCGAACTCACAAAGATCCACCTACCTTTGCCTCCTGAGTGCTGAGATTAAAGACATGTGCCACCACCACCCTGCTCCAAATTTAAAAATTAAAAAACAATTTAAAAAAGGAATAAAATGTATTCCAGTCCAACCACAAGGCATACTATCACTGAACAAGAACTGAATGGGTCAGTCAAGAGACATACCATCTGTCACTTGCTACCAGCTCTCTATCCTAATGCCTGGTGTATCCTTCCATATTTGCAGGATTCACAGTAATAGTTGAAGAGGGTTTGGAGTCTTGCCTCAGAATTTCCCAAAACAACTGGGCATGGAGCTCAGTAGTTCAGTGCTTATGTGATTTGTTTGAAACCCTGAGTTCAATCCCTGGAGTATGGGGGCAGGAGAGAAGAGAGAAAAGGGGGTAAGGGAGGGGGAGAGGGAGGAGAGAAAGAAAGGGGGAGGGAGAGGAAAGACTCCAAAAATAATTCTGAGGCTATCTCAAATCATTTGACTTCATTCTATTTTCCTCAGAAATTATTTGACAATGTGCTAACCAGGGTTGAAAGATGGCTCAGTGGTTAAGAGTTAAGAGTTGTGTGTTTCCTGAGGGCCTGAGCTTAGTTCCCAGCATCCCTATCAGGTGGCTCACAGCCTCCTATAACTCCAGCTGCAGGGCATCCAAGGCCTGTGGCTTCTGCAGGTACCTGCCCTCATGTGCACAGACTCATCCATAGGCACACACAGAGAGAGACACGCAATTACAAATAACAAAAATAACTCTTCTTTTTAAATTGCTGATCACCCCAATGCCGTGATAACAAGGATAAATATGATAGCTGTATTCTGATTTCTTAACATTTAAATTCTGAAATGACCTAACATCAGTCATCTGTCTCACTCCAGAAAGATGAAGCCATGTGCCCAAGGCCACACTGTGGGCTGTTGGCAAAAGTACAGCTGGAATCCAGGCTCCCCGGCTGCCAAGGCAATACCTCTTCCTCTCCGTAGAGGGCAGGCGTCCACTAGCCGATAGGCAGACCAAACCAGCAGGACCAATGTTCACTGGGAATTTTCTCTCTGTAACCCCATGCTGCAAGTGAGAGAGGGAAAACTCTTAAAATGGCATTCAAATGTGCACATTTTAAAACTTGATAATAAAGGAAAAAATTGTGACACTGAATAGAAATCTTACAGATTACAAGCTAGCAGTAGTGAAGGTAAAGAAGTTTTCAAAGACTATGTTAGGCCTATGTATGTGCTACAAATGCCTCAAGGAGCCCCTGACTCTACATACGCTCACCATGCTTCCACAGTACTTGGCAAGTGCCTCATTACATGTTCCAAATTTTGATCTATGGTATCAGATAACCTTATCTGTGTCCCAAACTTCCTCATTTGCAAGTCAACATCATACCTACTTATGGACCATACAGTGACATGTGTGTGTACACACAGAGAGTCAGACAGACAGACAGAGCCTTCACTGCTCTTTCTGACAGACTAACCGCTAGGAGCATAGCAATGCAGATGCAATGATGGACGTAGTACTCGGGCCCTTTCTACTCTCTGAACAACACTAACCATGTGTTCCTCCTGTAGGGAAAGGAGAGGAATCATACCCAGACCTTCTTGCTCTGGTGATTGCTGTCATCGTGACCATCATTGTGGCTCTGGGAGTGAAGAATTCTGTGGGCTTCAACAACGTCCTCAATGTACTGAACCTGGCAGTGTGGGTGTTCATCATGATCGCAGGCTTCTTCTTCGTCAATGGCAAATACTGGGCTGAGGGCCAGTTCTTGCCCCACGGCTGGTCAGGGGTGAGTTCATTCCCAGAGGCTGAGGTGCCTTCCATGCTGGGAACAGTCTAAGATGCATTTTCAGGAAAGCATCTTTTAGTTGGGAATGTTTAGAAGAATACCACATCTCATCTATCTCAACATGCCTATCTCCATGCTAAATGCTCTATCTCATCCCATCATCACAATAACCTTGGGCAGAAAATATTCCAAATTGGGACTGAAGGATAAAGGCATCCACACTTAGAGATGGCCAGTGGCTCCCTGGCACGGTGCCAGTGGCAGAATCAGAGTCCAAAGCCAGGAGTATTGGTTCTAAAGACTGCAAAGAAACAGCTGGATTCTGCTAAGAGCAGAAGTCATGCACAGAAATAAACAAATTAGTAAAGGAAGCCAGGAAGAGTGGATGAATGGGAAAGAGCTTTTTTGCCTCAGTGTAAAATTACAGGGGAGATCATTTATAATCAGACTCCAACATCTAACCCTAGAAAGAGAGTCCTGTGGTCTGAAAGCAGTGGAGTGACAGTTTTAAGTACCATCTGAGAGGCACACAGTCTATCTAGTATAGTCTGAGGGACAGGAGGGCAAGCTCAGCAGAAAGGACATCTTCAGTTTCCATCCCCAGGACCTGGTGCCAGTAAAAATGTAAGTCAGGGTGGAAATTTCTTTACATTAAGGGTAGCTCTAAGTCCCACCTGAGTTTTTCCTACAGTGTAAATGGAAAATATTTATTTTGTGGACTTATTGGAAAATAAATCCAGACTTTTTTTTTTTTTACAATAGAGCATAAGTCAGAAATTTTGCAGATGGCAGCATCTCAGAAGTTACCAGATCCTGTCCTCTCATTTCACAAGTTAGTGACTGTCCAGAGTCCCTGAGAGCCAGGGCCGCCTGTGCTGCTTAGAACATAAGTGCAGGACCCTGCTCAATTTGCTTTTGGTAGACTGGTTTTCCTCCAAAATGTCCAGGGATCAGAAATCACTCTTGGAGAACACTCAAAATAACTTTTGTTTATTCCAAGCTGTGCCACGCTACTTGGTGCAGAGAAATAAGCAAGTCACTTCAGCCAAAATTGTGAGTCTTCTACTAATCTACAGGAATTCCACAGAACCACAAAGCGCATCCCTCCTCTCCAAAAAGAATAATTACTGAAACTGGTAGAAACCAGAAAGGGGGACAAAGAAGCACTGTTGGATCCCAAGTTTTCTTATGATACAAATTGTTCTTTTCCTATCACAGAGGAGAAACAACAAATTATTAGAGTGGAAACAAAGAATGCCTCCCAGACCCCAACTGCATTCTTATTGTAACTCATGAAAGCTTTCTCACGATTTTCTCAACACTGGGAGAGATGGCTGGGTCAAGGACTTACGGGAAGATGCTGGACACAGTTAACTTCTGTGTCCTCAGCGCTTCTCATTATCAAGGGAGGAGACAAACTTGAACCAAATGCTTGCAGAAAAGGCTGCCTTCTCAACTGCCTTTGTATAGTGCTGTGAGAGTAACGCCTGCCTGCCATGTTAGATGCTGCTCCATCAACACTGTCCTGCTCTTACAGCCAAACTCTAAAGCAGGTGGTGTGTTAGCCCCACCATACACTTGGAAAACACAGGACTCTGAGGGACTGGTGACACCCTTGATCTCACTTTACTTAGTTAGTCAGGACAGGGGCTGATGTTCCTGACCAGGGCTATGTGGTTCCCAGGCCCTTTCCTCTCTTTTTATACCTTATGTATACTGTGCTGACCTCTCCCTTCTAAGAATTCTTAAAAATAATAATGATGATGAGGGCTAGAGAGAATGCCCTGGTAAGTCTCTTGCTGCATAGGCAACACGCGGGAAGACCAAAGTTTGAATGCCCATAACTCACATAAATGCCAACCAGGTAGGCATGGTGACCCAATAGTAATCCCAGGTATTGGACAGCAGAGACAGGGGATCCCAGAGCAAGATGGCTGGCTCTACTGACAGATAGCAGATATGGTGGGGCACGACAGAGAAAGACTCTTGGCATCAATACTGAGCCAATGCATGCAGGCACACATACCCACACATATGTACATAAAATTACAATAACAATAAGGTAACTGATCTTTAACATTTTCTTTAAACTTTCATGAAGAATTAGAATATTGGGATTTTATTTTTACATGGATGGGTGTTTTGTATCCATGTGTGTCTGTGCACCATGTGCCTGCAGTACCTGCAGAGGCCAGAAGTGGGAGCAAATCTCCTGGAATTGGACTTACAGATGGCTGTTAGCCACCATGTGGGTGCTGGGATTCAAACCTGCACCCTATGGAAGCACAATTGCTTCTCTAAACTGCAGAGCCGTCTCTCCAGCCCCTGAACTGGAACACTGGAGCTGAAAGAAACATTAAGAAATAACAAGTTCATGTCTTCGCTCAGACTGAATGTGCATCACACACACAGTAGCTTGGCCCGCTGTAAGGACTGGAGTGAGGGGCCTCTGCAATCACTCACACTTTCCACGCTGGGAAGAAAGTGGACACATCTTTTGGCCTTTTCTTCCCTCTAGTGCTCTGTTCTGGGGTCTTCATTCTCTTTGGGACGTCTTCTTCCGGCTCAGGGATTCTACACCTTTCCCAGTCAAGATGTCACTGCTTCAAGAAGTCATCAGATCAGCTTTGGGGCCCCAGTTTATGCACCTTGGGTTATCACTTGCTTTTATAGAAAGAAAAGAAGGTCCAGATTTAGGTGTAAAGAAGGAAAGGAATAATGACCTTCCTAACATTTAACATTCTCTTTGTAACTAGTTCTTTCAAATGCATGTTTAATTTATTCTTCATAGGAGCTCCAGGAACATCAATGCTCTCCACTTTTACACTGAAATAGCTGACGTTTTATTCAAGATGACAGTGCTAGTAAGCAATCCAGTTGAAACTGAATTCCAGTCTTAGGTAACCCTGAAGTCTATATTTACTCGACCATCCCCTGGTTTAAATCCCTTGAGACCACCCAGCTTTGTTTAAACCTCTGACCACTGACCTCACCTAGTAGCTTGAGTAGGCTGGGAATTTGGATTGTAATTGCATATCTATTAGAAACAAGTGTGCATCCCCGTGCTGTGACAACAAAGTATTGTCTGATCACGATAGACAACATGAGCTGTTGATTCTCCCTCCTGTTCTCTGCCTGGCCTTGGATTTCTGCATCGTACATGTGCTCTCTAGTGAACAACCTGGCCTTGCTCCTTCCCAACTTTAGTTTCAATCATTTTTCTTATGCAGCAAGGCCACTGTGAATTTAAATCACATACTGCAAAAGCCCGACACCTTCTCATGACTCGATCATCTACCACAGTAGTAAATGGATCCCCACTCGTATCTAACAAATGTCAGCAAAAATGTCTTCTTGCTTGGCAGCTGCATGACTGTATATGCTGCTTGGGGAACTCCTGAGCCCCGCTGCCAAATAGGGAACTAACAGAGTTCCAGTAACTTGGGATGTGCTATGCTTTAGGTAGAAGGCAATGAGGAGATAAGGTAGGATGCCTTAAGGACACCATCACATTGGTTTAGACACAATGCACAAGTGTCATGAAAGGGTTAATGAACAACCAGTCCTCTTCAACAGGGCCCTCACAGACCTCTTCCAGCCACCTCCTTCCAAAGAAAATAGCTTAAGGAATGGTTTACTCACTTAAAGGTTCTGGGTCAAATGCTTCTTTGGTCTTGAAGAGCTTAAGAACAACAAACATTTTCCCCTATATCAAGTGACTCTGGCCCCCAGTTGAACCCCTGCCTCCATCTGCAATTCCTCAGTCCCTGGACGTTGTTGGATGTGTGTGCCCTTTATGTTATTTGTTCTTGATGCTATCTTATGGTTTTTCTTTAACCAAATAAGATATTTTACCAGCACAAACAGCTCCCAGGAAAATAGTCCATAGTAAGAATTTGCAAGGAATTCTGAAGGCCTCCAAAGAAAAGCTATTATTTTCCATAGTCTCCTTGTCTGAATCCATTTGTTGGAACCTATTAACACATTCCACTGTCACTGTGGACAGGCTGCTAATAGAGGTAGGGCATGAGGGTGGTTGAAAATGCTATTAACATTGTCATTTTGTCTTGTCACCCTGGCAGTAAATTAGATAAAGGGGTCTAGTCATTTTCTAGCATCTGAAGCTTCTCAAAACAATACAGGAAGCCTACCTCATCCTAATGCCTGCAAAATATCATCAAAGCCCAGGGGAAGGGGTATAGCTTTTAGGGACCCCGCACACTGAGTAGCAAGGCACTCATATTAGTGATAAGCAAGTAAGAGCCCTCCATGTGGTATGATGCTTCTCTGCAGAGTTGTTGGCAGGGTAAGCCCATTCTGAATCATCTGGGCAAGCATGTACATAGGCTCACCACACATAGGTTTTCAAGTGTTACAGGTATCCCAACCATAAATGCCACTGGCCAGATGGGATCTGGAGAGGGCAAGGGGGAAAGCAGCTCTCAGGATCACACCTTCTCACAGCTTGTTTTTGAGGTTCTTTGTACTCATATTTGTTTGCAAGAGAATTTACATTGTGGTTGAGTACTGATAGGTGAAAATAAAATATAAAATACAAAATATACAGGTAATAACACAACTGAAGGGGTAGCTCAGTGGTAGAGAGCTTCACTAGCATTCATGAGGCCCTAGGCCCAATGTCTCCACCACAAAAAAAAAAAAAAAAAAAAAAAAAAAAGACAGCCTACATACTGATTATTTTTCCAAAAAGAATTAAAATATGTTCACTAACCCAATTTTTATTTGGTCATAAAATTCTCCTCTGTATTTAACACATGAGGAAATGCCTAAGTCATACAGCAAAGTATAGTAGATGAGAATTTGGGTTTTCCACAGTTCCCCTGTGCCATTTAGGAGTGTATCTACAGAGCACTGGGCAGTTCTGGGTACCACATTTAAGCCATGGTCCTGCCCTCATCTTCAGAGCCTGACATATGTCATCATCTTCACAGGTGCTGCAAGGAGCAGCTACTTGTTTCTATGCTTTCATTGGCTTTGACATTATTGCCACCACTGGGGAGGAGGCCAAGAACCCCAATACATCCATCCCGTATGCTATCACTGCATCCCTGGTCATCTGTCTGACAGCATATGTGACTGTAAGTACCAAATGTTCTTCATGACCCTTTATATTTTATTTTAAATGGTGGATGACTCTGGGACTCTGAAGGTTCAGTATTGTAGTACAAGCACAAGGACATGAGACCAATCCTGAATACTCACACGAAAAGCAAAAGGCAGGCGTGGTTATATGAGCTGGTAATTGCAGCACTGAGAAAGCAGACAGACAGATCCCTGGGGCTCACTGGCATTCAGCTTCAACTGCTTAGCATGTTCTAAGCCTGTGAGAGGCCCTAACAACAACAACAACAACAAAAAATAGGTAACCAGTACCTGAGAAATATTGGAATATGTAAGGTTATCTTTGGCCTCTACACAATTTGTACACAATCACATTCCCACTCACACATACATACATACACATTCACAGCAACAGAAACAAATGTGGCTGTAGGACTATGACACCTCCTCTCTCTGGACATAGACTTCTCCTCACTCCTTGTTGATGCTTGCATGGTGTTTCCTTGTGTCCCCTGTAGCTCTACCTATCTATGACAAGAAGACACTCAGGACCTCAAAATGTAGGGAAAGAAAAGCCACAAGTCCTTGCCTTAGCCTGTGCCTTTCAAGTCTCCATCCCTTCACTTCCCTGTGCCTAGGGACAGTGTGCAAGGAGTGGGCTGTCATCCAAGCAGTCAGGTCATAGGCTGGCAGTAACGGGTGGCCTCTGTACAGCCCTCAATGCTCTTCTGTCTTCTGGGAGCTTCCCGGCAATGGAGAGGCAAGGCTCCCACAGAGGGGGCAGGAGAACACTCAGTCCTTGGGAAATACTCTTGCCCTGAAATCTGGAGAGAAATACAGTTCTTTTCAGCTCAGTTTCCTAACACCAGCTCAAAGTTACCCTCAGAGTTTCCCCCAGAGTGAAGCCTCTAGCCTGGTCTCCTCGACATGCACACTTACACACACACTTCTAATGTGTCATTCTTGGTTCCCATAGCAGAATTTCTCTCACAGAAATTGTTAGCTTTCTTTACCCAACATCTTAGTTCCTAGAACCATCTGGCCAGCCACCAGGACATGAACAATGAAAATCTATCTGGGTCATCACACTCAGGAAAAAGACAGCATCCAGGGTGGATGTCCCCCACCAAACATTCTGATATGCTAATCTGAGAAAACATGTCTAATGAGCTAAAAGTCATGGCAATTAGGAAAGACTTGGGATGGGGTACAGCTTATTGGACTAGCCAGCCCTTTACCCCAAGAACTCATCTTTAGCCATTACCTAAGGAATCCAGACCAAATGACGAGGCAAGACGCAAAACAAGATCATCTATTGATGGAAATTCAGTTGCCCACCTAGATATTTTATGAATGGGCCAGTTGTCACCTCCCTCTCTAAACACACACTCAAGTAGCTTCATATTATCCAGATCCTGATTGTCCTGCATGTGGGGGAGATGGCAGGGCAGGAGCAACAAGTCCTCTGCTCTGTCTGTCTCCTCCCACACTTTCATCACCGCCACCACCACCACCACCACCCCCGCTGTGGAAGCAGATCCTTGCACACACAGTGAAGCTGACCATCACGGTTCCTTTCTTAAACATCACTTTATAGATTGCACAGTCCTCTTGAGCCTCTACCAAGCTGGTAGCTTAATCCATACTCATCTGTGTGGTCAGAAGACTCTGAGATTTGCTATGAAAATCAATCACAAGCCTCCAGCCATTCTACTGCCTCCTCAAAGGCAATGTGACAAGTGATACATCCCTGAGGGCCACTATCTTCCAGACTACACAGGCCTTAGTCATGCCTCTGGGACCACTGGGTCTTGTGCCGGTCAGTAAACAGTGCTGTGCTGCCATGGCATATTCCTGGTGACACATGGCTTCCCTGGGAGACCTTGGTTCCTGAGGATCAGGTAAGGGAGTGGTCTGATATGACCTACCCTCTCCATTTCAGCTTCAATTCCCTTCTTGGTATCAGGGTTGTTTTTTTACATGCCAAGAAAAGCCATGTGTGCCTGCTGCCTCCATTGTTTAGGTCCAATGTCAAATAAATCAATTTTACAGCAGATCTTTGACATAGAAAGGAGAAAAGGATCCCTACAGGAATCCCCAGACAAGTGTACCCTGCTTAAGAAGACAGAGTGGCTTCACGGAGCACAATTAGATCCATCCTGAGGCCACAGTTCTCTGTTGGCCTACATGACCCTCAGCACTAAGCCAGAAAGAAGAAATGAAATATGAGTTCCTATGGTGACCCCATCAGCTCATTGTCTGTGGGAGTCTCAAACACTTTCAGTGTTTTGACCTCTGAGGCTTCAAGTGAGGAGGACAGATCAGAGCCAGTAGGGTCCTGAAGAAATAAAAGAAGTAAAAGCTTATCCTGGTGACATAGCCCAGTGGATAAAGATGCTGCTCCTACCAGGCAGACAATCTGTGATGGATCCCCACAATCCACAGACAGAAGAGAACTGAGCTGCCCTAAGATGTGCTTCAGCCTATACACTTACACACACACACATGCCCACACACATGCATGCACACAGATGTGCATAAACACACACATACACATATGTGCACACATGGGCACACACATTTACAAACACAAAAATGCTTTATGAAAAAAAAGCAGGAGAAGAAGCAAGAGCCTTATCCTTAGGGGAAGGGCCCTTGAGGCCCTGGTCACGACTCCTTCCATCTGGGGATGTCTCAGGGTGGTCCTTCACTGTGAGGCTTGAAACATCTGTGGGTTTATCCTCAGACTCGAAAAGGCCACGGAGACATTTGGGAGATTATTTGATCCCAACCACTGAAAGAGCAAAAGTGGGGAGAAAACATGGAGACCAACTGGCCCAAATAAAAGCCACATGCTAGTTAATGGCTGCAAAGCACCACAAAAGTCTCCGTCTCCACGTCAGGGTCACCCACCCGTGCTGTCTGTCTCCAGCCTGTCTTCTTTTGTCTTAACAGGTGAGCATGATCTTAACTCTGATGGTGCCATATTATGCCATCGACACGGAGTCCCCTCTCATGGAGATGTTTGTGGCCCATGGCTTCTATGCTGCAAAGTTTGTAGTGGCCATCGGGTCGGTGGCAGGACTGACAGTCAGCCTGCTGGGCTCCCTGTTCCCCATGCCCAGGGTCATTTATGCCATGGCTGGTGATGGGCTGCTTTTCAGGTAAGAGTCTCCAGGGAATGTGCTGTTGCTATCCAGGAGGACTGACTGCAGGCACGGGGAGTCTGTGTGAGGACCGTCTCTCCAAAAGTCTAGGTTTAAAGAGCTCCAACTCTGAAACAGACTCTCAGTTGACTCTAGGTACAGAGCTGAGGGATGGGAGCTCTTCTTCCTCCTCTGACAAGCACTTCCCTTGTGGGGGCAGAGGGTACTTCCAGAAGGAGGAACCCAGGGGCATCTTAGGCTGCCTCATAGTGAGACCTGGCTCCTTTCTCCAAAGCTCCCATGAAGCTGAAAACCTTCAACAGTCAGAGAGGAGATAAAATCCTCTAATGATGCCATGGTAATTGTTACAGTAACTGTCATTTGTGAGACAGTTGCAGACATCCGGTGCTGCTGGGTTCTCTGTGCACTGTGTCCACTTGTTGATCAGACACTGTTTGGGATGAGTCTTGACCCAAACCTTTTTGCTGGTGGGCCAGAACTTGAAACCAGGACTCTCTGGTTCTGAAACTCAGACTTCCCTTTTTGATTGTGTGAGATTGTTTTGCCAGTTTGTTTCTATGTACCACATGTGTGTCTAGTGCTTCCAAAGGTCAGAACAGAGCATCAGATCCTGGGCAACCCGAGTTACTGATGGTTGTGAGCTGCCATGTGGTGCTTGGAACTGAACCCAGGTCCTCTGGAAGAATAGCTGTGCTCTTCACCTCTGAGTCATTTCTCCAGCCCTGATCCTCGAACTTTACACAGCAGTACGTTTGAAGTTCCAGCCTGTTGGTAGCCATGAAGTGGTCTGTCTCCCACTGACAAAATGGGATGCACCCTTTTACTTGATTCCCAGTGCCTATTGTGGGAGGTCAAGCAGCTCTCAGAGGTGTCAAGAGAATGGGCTCAGGGGCTTTATTTCTGCCGTTAGCTGTGACTTTCTGTTCCATTTCCTCTAGCAGCTGCTTTGGGGTGCTGGGTAGATCAAGACAAGGACCAAGATGGTGATGGTGTGACAACTTATAACTTCACACATCTATAAGCTTTTCCTGCCACAAAAAAAAAAAAAAAACACACACACACACTTAGAGGAAAGATGCTATGGGCCCTGGCACACTTGACAGCTCTGTGTGGTTCTTAGGAGAGAAATAATGGGGAATGGAGGCGACTGGGCCAGGAGTGGAGAGTGGAGGGGAGAGGAGCCTCTTTAAAGCTCACAGGACCTGCTGCAGAAGGGCCCATATTGTAACCACCCTGCTTGGCTTTCTCGTCTTCAGTTGGACTTGAACCTGTGTCTATAATCTTCTTAACTGGCATGCTGTTTACCAACTCAATCCCTGTACTTCCATTGTAGGGCAGCGTGTCTCACGTTTGAAAACTTAGGGTGTCTTTTAAAGTATAGTTGGCTGACATCACCTCCAAAGTTCTGATGTAGTAGAGCTTGTAAGGATATTCCTTCCCAGCAAGCACTGGTAATGCTGCAGATTGGCAGGTTTTCCCAGCTTCCATGGGTTTCCACGTGGATGTCTGGCAGACCTCCTGGATTCAATCAACCCTTCCTGTCACATAATGAAAGGGACCCCTTGGGTTTTTTGGTTTGTTGTTGTTGTTGTTTAAGGTTTCAAATAAGGGAATTAATGTGAATTCTCAAATGATATCCCATGAGCCAGACTTTGGGGATAGTGTAGCAGACAGGTTAATGGGAACGGCAGGGCCAGGAGGAGCTATCCCAAGCAAGCTGTTGATATTGCAGTTCTAACATGCTGGTATGCTAGAACCAGTCACCATGGGGAGCGTGACTCCTAGCCTCTGCTTGCCCCTTCCCTCCAGGTTCCTGGCCCATGTGAGCTCCTACACAGAGACCCCGGTGGTAGCTTGCATCGTGTCAGGGTTCCTGGCCTCTCTCCTGTCACTGTTGGTCAGCCTAAGGGACCTGATAGAAATGATGTCCATTGGTACACTCCTCGCCTACACCTTGGTCTCTGTCTGCGTCTTGCTCCTTCGATACCAGCCCGAGAGTGACATCGATGGTTTTGTCAAGTTCCTGTCTGAGGAGCACACCAAGAAGAAGGAAGGCATCCTGGCTGACTGTGAGAAGGAGACTTGCTCTCCTGTGAGTGAAGGGGAAGAGTTTTCCAGCTCTGCCACCAACACCTGCGGGGCCAAGAACCTGCCATCCTTGGGAGACAACGAGATGCTTATAGGGAAGTCAGATAAGTCTACCTACAACGTCAGCCACCCCAACTACGGCACTGTGGACATGACCACCGGCATAGAAGCGGATGAATCAGAAAACATCTATCTCATCAAGCTGAAGAAGCTGATTGGACCCCGTTACTACACGATGAGAATCCGGCTGGGCCTTCCAGGCAAAATGGACCGACCCACAGCAGCAACAGGACACACAGTGACCATATGCGTGCTCCTGCTCTTCATCCTCATGTTCGTCTTCTGCTCCTTCATCATCTTCGGCTCCGACTACATCTCAGGCCAGAGCTGGTGGGCCATCCTTCTGGTTGTTCTGATGGTGCTGCTGATCACTGCGCTGGTGTTCGTAATCCTGCAGCAGCCCGAGAACCCCAAAAAGCTGCCGTACATGGCCCCCTGCCTCCCCTTTGTGCCTGCCTTTGCCATGCTGGTGAATATCTATCTCATGCTAAAGCTCTCCACCATCACATGGATCCGGTTTGCCGTCTGGTGCTTTGTGGGTAAGCAATGTCCTCTGGAGACTTGGGCATCCCCCTTTTAAGGTCTTATCCCAACATTTAAGGCTTATCCCAACATTATGCCCTAACTGGACAAGACACCAACATTCTTAGAGAAACTGGGCTGGTTCTATAAATCCATGCTTTCTTCATTGGTCAATGAAGCCAGTTACCCCTGTTCTTCCTAACATATGCTCTTGGTCATTGTCCTAGAAGGATGATGCTAATCAATCCATTACTTCATGAAATGCCAAATTACTGAAAGTTCTTCTTGGGTGAGAATAATTAGTGCCAGAAAGGGTTCAATTAAAATGAATACCCATCTTTTAAAGACATAAAAGTACCAGAAGGAAATATGCTAAGACGTCTGGTGAGGTTGGCTAAAATCCGCTTAGACACTAAAAATTGTGGTAAATTATTTTTTTAAAAATCCATTGATCTTAATTTGGCCAAATTAAACTAAAAGGTCAATCATAGTCTAATTTTTTAAATAAATAAAGCCTGAGCCAAGTGTGAATTATTTTTCTGACATAATTTTATCATGACACCATTTTACATATCTCAGTTCATTCTGGCTTTTGTAAATATTCAAGATTTTCCCGAGGTCCTCATGTTACCCTATGAAAGGCCAATGGAAGGTGCCCATTGTGCCTTCTCCATGAGAGCCTCCATCAGTCTCATCTCCTGGTATAAACCCACGCTGTGCTCAAAACTCTCTTTCACTGACTTTAAGAAGCCCCAAGCTTTTTCAAGAATTCTAAATGACTTTGTGGTCAATTAGTATTGTACCTTTGTTCCATATTGATCATTTCTGACCTTTGCCAGTGTTTATGAGGCACCTGGGGATGGATCATTATAACATGAGAAGGACATCTAAGCAAATTTTAAAGTTCATTTGTCACTGTTCCTAAGTCCTTGGTGGCCTTGGGAGCTCTGTAGAGCATTTCCCGCCTCAAGCAAGAGGTCAGTCATAGATCAATTTGTCAGGCTCAGGTGACTGACACACACATTGATTAGTAGCCTGTCCACTACTTAAGGCCAAGGGATGTAGGTGTCCAGTGAATGCCTAGAACAAAGTGCCTGTGAGACATGCTCAAGAAATGTTTCTTCAATGATTGTGAAGTACTCTTTCAGCGGAGAAAAAAGTGAGAGGCCAGAAAGCACTTGGAGGAAATAAGGTGTGTGGATCCTGAAGGAAAGGGTTAATGAGATGGAGGGAGGAAACCAGTGAGCCAAAATCTAACAGAGCCAAAGCCAGGACTCCAGAAGCGTGGGTGCAGAGGCCTTATCGGGGCCAGGAACATAACTTGGTGGCAGAGTTCTTGCTTAGCAAGATCTTGGGTTGCTCCCTAGAGCTTCTTAAATTAGAGACCCCCATCACAGCCACCATGTTAAACATGTGGCCTATCACTGCCTCTGTCCCTCTTGATTCTATGAAGGAATGAACTAAAGATCCAAAAAGTCAGATAATCCTGAAGTTAGTGGGAGAATGGATCCCTAACTCCAGTGTAGCCACAATTCAGTCCTGGGGTTCTTATCACATCACTGATCTCTGAAAATGAATGTTTGGTGGGCTAAAACCTGACAGTGGGGCCACATTCCTGGGCATATTATCTCTGCGCAGGACCCAAGGCCTGGGCCAACAGTCTGTGGGGCTGTTTTGAAAGCTTAATAATTTCTAAGCAAGACACCCCATGTTTTTTTTGTTGTTGTTGTTATTCTTTTGGGTTTTTTTGCACAGAGATTCACGAACTTATAGCCAACTCTATTATTATTATCTGTGGTTCTTGTGGCACCAAGAAGGTCTCTCCCCTCTGGCATCTAACAATGCCAGTTCAAATGGGAGCCCTGTCCCAGCCTTGACTTACAAGTTTAAAAACTTCACCTAACCGCATTGAGCTTGGACCATTTAGTCATCCTGATGGCTGCTGGGGACACAAATGAGAAAATTATGGACAAAGTAATAAATCCTTATCTCTTGTTTTCCTTTTAAAGCTCTGAAGTGACTCATTGTCCACCAGTTTGTGACAGGCTGGCTCTCACACAGCAGAGCACAGTGTGAACCATCCCCAACTCGGGCTGCCCCACTTGTTAGTGGGCAGCGGAAAACTCCCTGGGAGCCTTTTGCAATCTTGCTGATAGCACAGGCTGCAGACTCCCTCAAGAAGCTGTTTCTCACTGACCTAGCAGGATGGCACTGCAGAGTGGGCTGGCTGGCATCTGTGCTCACCCAGAGTCACAGCCCAACAGCCACATATGTAATTGCTAATTCTTCCAGGCACCGGCTGCCAGCCGATTTCCTACCATGACTTTTGAAGGCAGTTAGTTTACTAAGTTTCATCCAGAACAAAGATTGCCAACTCTGGCTACAGATCAGAACACTCCATGTTACTTCTGGAACATTCTAAACACAGACTTCCCCCACATAATGTTATGATTCAATTGATTTGGGCGGTCAAGCATAGAGTATTATTTTAGAGCTCTGCCAAGGTATTTTTAACATGCAGCCAGGTTTTTAATGCCTATAACCTTCTAAATCAATATGTCTCAAAGTGTCATCTCAAACCAGCAGTGCTAATGTTACAGTGGACTAGTGAGGATGCAATTTGGGACTTAACAAGGCCTCCAGGAGATTCTAATTCATGCTCAAATATGAGAGCTCCTGTTCTAGAGAGAAGACATGATCGACCAGGGAAGTTAATTTAATTGTAAAATTTGTTCTTTCAAAAACAAAGAAGTATATCCATCCCACAGCCGCAAATTGACTTATAAAAATATTTATGATCTTACACAATTACCATAAATATCCCTCCTCTGAATTTCTGAGGCTTCCAGACACCTTTTGGCTTATGCACAGAGTAACTGTCCTAGGAAGAACAGTAGAAATATTTCTAAATGAAGTTTCTTATGAAATCAACTGCTTTCTCAACAAAACCTCCATGGTTAAAGCTGAGTCATGGTGAGATAACATTCTAGGACACATTCTTTTATCCAGCCTTCCCTAAGTGAATCTTAATCAGAGGGTTATTGTAACAGTGTTTTGCTGGGCTTTGACCTTCAAAAGAGCATAACTCACAGAGTGAAATGAAGCCCAAGCCTCAACCAGATTTCCCTGTGCACACTCCCTCCCTTTAGACAAGAGGAATGACACAAACAATAAATGTCCATCAATCCCAACAAAGTGAGCCCAAAGCCATCTTCAGTGCCTTTTCCTCTCAGTGGATGTAAGCTGGTGAGAGCATCTCCCGGGTGTCAGACACCGCCTCAGGAACTGTGGAAGTCCAGGGTCTCTTTCAGACCTGTCTCCAGAGGGCTCATATTAACAATTGATGGGGGAGAGGAAGGATTAAAAAAGGCAGCTGGTGGCGGCTCCTGCCTTCAATCCCAGCACTCAGGAGGCAGAAGCAGGAGGACCCCTGTGAGTTCCAGGCCAGCCTGGTCTACAGAGTGAGTTCCAGGACACCCAGGGCTGTTACACAGAGAAACCCTGTTTCAAAAAATAGGGTTGGAGAAGAACTATCAGGTAGCCTAGCTCACTGGTACCTTTACCACAAGAACAACCAGGTAAGTGTTCATAATTTGTCAAGTCTCTCTGAGGAAAATGAAATTTTGTTTTAAGATTCAGAGAATGAACAGGACTTGGGATTTATACAATGGGCTTCATGTGTTTTATGCCAGGATGGATGGATGGATGGATGGATGGATGGATGGATGGATGGATGGATGGATAGATAGATAGATAGATAGATAGATAGATAGATAGATAGATAGATACTCTTTTCTTCTTTCCATTTGTTTGTCGTGTTTGTTTGTTGGGGTGAGGTTTCTGATATCCAAGACTGGCCTCAAATTCTCCATGTAGTGCCAGAATAACCTTGAACTCCTGACCCTACTTGACCCACCTTCTCAGTGCTGGGGTTACGAGCATGATGAACCACCACACTTGGTTTATTCAGTGGCAGGAACCAAACGGGGGGGGGGGGACCTTTGTGAACATTAGGCAAGCACTCTACCAAGTGAGCCTCGTCCCCAGTCCCCAAAAATGTCAATATTATAAAGAGAAAACATCTGCCTTTCTGGTCTTTGCCTGAGCTGCCGTTTAAAGTACTATGAGAAAGTAATAGGAGGCTGCCATTGTGAGGGGGGAATGTGGAAGGAAAGGTTGCTAAGATACCCAAATGCTTGACAGCATGTTCCATCAATCGATCTGATTGGCAGAGGAGAAAACCACCTGCAGTTTCCACATCAGTCATGCTCAGGAGAGTGAGAACCAAGTCTTGAAGGCCTCACAGGCAGGGATGGCAACGGTAGCTGTGTGATGTCCAAAAGGAGAGAATGTAGAGAGGAAGTTTGTCACGGGGCCCTGTGCCTACATGCAGCCGGTACTGCTCTGGACACAGGAAGGCATAGGCAAGAAGGGGTGAGGAAATCAAGGGGCTTTGCCACCAGAATCAGTCAAAAGAAAAAAATGGAAGGAGAAAGAACCGTGGGAGAGGTAGAAGGCCCTGGAGTCAGCATGGGTGGTGCATCTGGAACTGCAAGCCACCAACCCTGAGCATTTGTCCCCTGCTGGTCAGCGCTGGTGTGATATCCACCCACTCGTGTAGCTGTCAAACTGTGATTGTGGACTAGCTTTCCACAGTGTCACTACCATGCAGACACCACGTAGGTTGTTTGCATTTTGTCCTGATAAAGCAGGCTGCAGGGAATATTCTTTCACACGTCTTTGGTGAGCGAATCTCTGTGTGATGTGTGACTACCAGTTCATAATATCAGATTTCTCTCTCACTGTGGCAACCATCACACCTCGAAGGGTCCCCAACTCTGCCTTACAGATGAGACCTTGAGCACAGTCATCTGACTTCACAGGGATAGAGCCCCACCCTTCAAGCCTGCTCTTCCTGGCACACTACATCAAACAAACCTCACTGTTATTACAATCGGCAGGGTTTGTGGTGGTATGTAAAAAAACAATTGGAAGAGTTAGGACTTGGTGGGGATTG